GCTTAGTATGCTGTTAATGCCAGATGTGCCAAGGGCCCAAAACTCTATAGTGCTGGCTGTAGCTTTGGCCCAGGCAGCTGGTGCAAGTCCAGACAATGGCACTTGTGGCATAACCTTATCCCTCCATGACGTTAATTAGGTATTTGTGATCTCGATGCAAATACATAACTCCCATCACTTGTGCAATTAGGTCATGTTGCGTGCGCCATCATTGGTCCCCTCCCGCCGCCCCCCCCCCCACGAACGCCCACTAGGTCTCTGTATATTAGCGATGCAAAGAACACTGTCCTGGGAACAGGATGAATACAAGCAATGAGCACGATAGTACTACTGAATAATAATAATAGCTTAATTGGTTTAAAGACTAAGCACGGACAGAAATAAAGGCATTTCAATTCAATCTGAATATATTCAATACAAAGTAGAAACCTAGGCAGCTCTAACTCTAACAGAATTAGTAGAATATCAAACAGGCAACAACTTTACAATAAAAAGAATAGATAAACTAGACCCTGTAAGTCAAGGACACTAGTTAAATCAATTGGTAACTAATTAAATTGAGTTAAATTCTACAATTTAAAAGCCAGAGAAGCCTGTTATGGAGGCCCATCTAGAAGCTACAAGGGTGCAATCTATCAGGCCTTTGAAGTAGGCCAGGTCAAGAAGTTGGCATGGCAGGGATTCCAGGAATGTTCTTTCTTGTAGTAAGTTAGAATAACAGATTCTCGAAAGCTGTCCAAGATTCTCTCTGCCCTGTCTTATACTAAAGAACATCAAGGTTTGGGTTATTCTGAGTTACTTTCTCACTTTTATTTTCTCAGGATGGTGTGATCTCTTCTGAAAGTCCCCTCTTAATGGCTCGCTCATTCTTCTGAATCCCCATGGTCAACTCTACATTCTGTTACCCAGTCAGAGGAATACCCTGTTCCTCTAAATCAAGCAAAAAAGCTTTAAGCCCAGACTTAAAGACCAAAAATTCATCCATCCTCTGAAGAATAAGAGGGAGCCAAAGATCTGGGAGTAGATCCTGGAGGGTCTTTCAGAGTTCTGCCTTACTCTCCACTCCATGCTTTTCAATATTTACATGAAATTGTTGGAAGGTTAACCTGGACTTTGGAGACAAACTCTCCACCCTGAAGATACCTGGCATACTTCTGAATGTATATCTCAGGTTATGCAGTGAAAATATTGCTCTCCTTTTTAGAATGGGACCTGCAGGAGGTCCCTACTGAAACTCAATTGAAACTCAGTTCTGAAAAGAGAGAAATGCTCTTCACACAGGTGATGCTTAACCTATTTTGGACAAGGATGCCTATTCCCGGCCTAAGTAATAGATCCACCTCTGTCACTTGGACTCTGTGTGTAACTTCCTCCATTAATAATTGCTGTCTTACCTGGACGAACAAGGCAGAGCCATTTAGGACGTCACAGCCTTCAGTTTTGACCACTGTGAGGCTGTTGATATATTTGGTCTGCAATGCAGAATTTGAGGGCTGCTAATTGCAAGAGGTTTTTGTGAGTGTTCTCTCTGGTGCTTTTTTAAAAACTAAGTCCAGTGACTTCAAAGTTCTTTTCTGTGCACAATTCCAAGTGCTGGGTGCTTTCTTTAGAAGTCTTACATAGTTTGGGGATAGAAAATATGGAGTACTACTCCATGGAGTTCATTCAGGTCAGTCCTTTTCAGCTGGAAATGCCCCAAGACTATCCTTGTTCTGCAAGCCTCACCAGCCATCTTTTGGGCTATTATTATACTATTTATTTTTATGCAAGGTGTCCCCCAAATATGGATTTTGATGAGGCGGAGGAGGAGGATGTGTTTGTATTCCATAAAAACCTTCTCTTTAAAATGTTTTTGGGGTTGTCGCTTAACGTACAAAATATATCACAGGCCATAATCCAAAGTCATATTTCAAATCCCATTTCCATTCTCTATTAAATTAGTACACATTAATTAAAAGAGCCTCATTATCAGCCTACAGTCAACACTAAATGTTTATTAACCGCAATTAACAGCAGTGAAATGCACTTTTTTCTCAAAGGTTCCACTGAATGCAGTGTGGTAAGTAAACATGTGTAAAAAATGTAGCTTTGTGATCACAGTTGTAAGTGTTACTGAACAGAGTTGAGCTTTGCAACTGATGTACACCTGACTGGGGGGACAAGTAATTTTGCATCATTGAAGGGATATGTAGATAAATTGCAAACTTGAAGGGATACGTAGATAAAAGTTTTGCTTGCCAAATAATAAGTATTTTTGCATCGTGCTGTACAGTATTGAGAAATATAAATTTTGGGAACCCAATGGTGTTCTTGGGGGGACATCCCCCCAGAACACCATTA